CATTGAAACATGATTAAAACATTAAAAACTATTTTATCTACTTTTTATCACTGTTATGGTAAATTTAACTTAAAAATGTAATTTTAAATTAAATTTAATTGAAATTCCTGTAAAATAACTTTAGCATGTGTAATTTTACAATAATTTCGGTTTCACCACTAAGATTTAAAATGCGAACAAGAATTGAGACAAAAACTTACAGAAGCAGAAATAAAAATAAAGCAAGAATATTCAAGTAGCTTCAGACAGTTACAAAATAACTTTTTAAGGCATTGTTTTTTGTGTTTTCAAGTTGGAGGAAGGAGTTTTGAAAATTTGCTGTAATAAATAGTAATTTTTCAGTAATTTGTGGTTTTTATTTGTATCGAAAAACAGGTAATTTCCCAACTAGCCATTTTGATCTTTATTCTTGCTCACATTTTAAATCTTAGTGGTGAAACCGAAATTCTTATAAAATTCAACATGCTAAAGTTATTTTACAGGAATTTCAATTAAATTTAATTTGAAATTACATTTTTAAGTTAAATTTACCATAACAATGATAAAAAGTAGATAAAATATTTTTTAATGCTTTAATCATGTTTCAATGATTTTTAGCCTATCCGCCTTCAAAAGCCAATTACAACAAAAATAGGCTAATTAAGTACATTTTTTTTATGATTTTTGGTAGTTTTCTAAACTATTATGCTATTAGCATGCGGAGTTTTTAATTTTAGCGGGAACCTATGGAAACTCCCTTTTGTACTTCTAAATTGAAGTTGCATGTTTGAGTAAATCCTACTAAAAAGTAAAGTTCCAACTTTCAAGCCTTTTTTGAGTAACTTTAAGTAATTTCAGGAAGCTGAGTTATTTTTGTATTAAAACAACATTCAAGACAATAGGCTAGTTGATTCATGTTGAATTGTATTAAATAAATGTTTATTTCTTAAAGTTTTTGATCTAAGGAACCTAAATATATCGATTTCACTTCATAAAACCAGAAGATTACTGTAGAAATTTAATTTAAAAAAATATTTTTTAGTCTATATTTTCTAAACACTAAAAACGCTATCCGCCACATCCGCCATGATTGTGACGTCTCTTATGGTAAACAACTAAATGTCATTCGCGTGTTATTGTGGGTGGATTCTTTCGTTTGACTAAATTTATTTTAAAACACTTTTAACTTTAGAAAAGTTTCCGTTTACTGTTTTTTTTTGAAAAAACTAATTATGGATGCCGGCTTTGTGAAAACAGAAAGCACAAATCTGCCAAGAATTGACGCATTCATGGTTGGTGAATTTATTGCACTAAACCCCGATTTCTGCTCTGCGGACGGAGCAGAGAAACGACAAGGCATCTATGTAAGTACAGTGTATTTAGTATTACAAATGTAGTAATAAACATAAAACTGATACAAAATATGAATAAGTGTAATAAAGTTGCGTAGGTTAATTTCTTTCGGCACTTTTAATCCACAACTTTCCTGGAGTCTTCAAGGATGTGTTTTTATATTCTCGTACAATACAATAATGATAATTATTTTATTTTTCGGGGTATTTATTAGATATCATCTTTTGATTATTATAAAGTCAGTTAAGTTATTTTCTACGTGCTTACGAGTTTTTGTTTATTTACCTTTATGATCAGTGTTTACTGCAGTTAACGTCATAGCATAGATAATCTATAGACTAAAATGGCCGACAGCGTTTTAGTATGTCCACGAAAAATCTATTTTAAAATTAAAGATTTGTAGCTTTTTAGGTCTCAAAAAAATACAATACTTTTTTTTTCGGTCTAATAGAACATTTATTAACCATTTAAAACCTTTTTCCAAAAAGGGTCAACTAGCCTATTATGTCACAAAAAAAGACAGCAAAATACCTACTACGAAAAAAGATAAGAATTTTTGAAACCTCGCTGGCAGAAATCATTAAAAATACACAAAAAAAATTATAACTCGAAAAGTAAGAAAAATCGCGGAACATACATATTTATATTGGGTATTTTCGGATACCCCCAGGTGCGAGGAATTTAAAACAAATTTGTTGACGTCACTAGTTGGACCATCCTGTATATATAATATCGAAAGAATCATTATCTTTATCGCCGCAATTATCGTTGCTATAAACAATTGACACCACATTCACTTTTCACTGCATTTCATACTTGACGAAAATATGTAAATGTATTATTGTATAGCAGCTGTCCACGCGGACGCATCGCTCACTCAAGTAGGAGAGAGACAGATGTCGAACGCTGCCAAACGCGGAGGCCGATTGTGTCTCTTTGTCGCTCGTTGCACTTCAAGCCTTAAATGGAACGCCTCAGAGCGACGTAACGCCGCATGAGTCATGTTTTTTCGTGCGTGCAGCCGGCTCCATCGAGTTATAAGACGCTGTCACGTCAAAAATGTGACATAACCTCAAATCCTTGACACTTCTACACATAATTAACTAACTAACTTAAAATAAAGTCCGGTCGTGAATGCACTGGTTTTTTTTCCTGAAAACGTCCTGCCTGTCGTTAATTCAGAAAACAAATCGTTTGATTCGTTCACTCGAAATAATTTTCACTTCACAATTTATGTAAAAAACTCGATCAACACAAGAATAGGAGTAACAACCACAGATCACGTAACAACAACACAATTGACAATTCCCCTGCTCGTTTGCATTTGCAATAGGGTGGGGTGAAGATCTGGAATTGAATATTCGAATAATCGATGAAATTGGAAAAAATGATCGTTTTGTATATAATCGCTTTACGCAATGAATCGATCAAGTCAGATACAAATAAGATTCAATTAATTATATTAACAGCATAGAAATAAATATAATTACTAGTTACTACTTAGTTAATGATGAAATCGACAGTTTGGTGAGCCCCTTCCATAAAACGATTAAAGATTTCCGTGGAATTAACCTTCTAAAACATAATTTATTCGTGTCGATTTTTTAAACTTAGATTTGAGTTGATTCAAAAGTTGATCTTTAATACCCCGGCTACATGTTCCTTCTCACCTAAGAGCATGCCTGCACAGATCAACTAGCCTCTCTTTGTCGTCATTGTCGTCCGTCCCTCTCTAACGTACATACTTTTATTGACGTACAACAGGACGCGGCACAATCCAATGTACAACGTACGACTACGCAGACAAGACAAAGTGTGTAGCTGGGTAAGCACGTGCCTGTTTTTGTCCGACTACACTTACAACTCGATATTTTATCTTTTTCGTCTCTATGCTTAATACGTTACATCGAGTAAGTAGTCACTACATACAGCAAAAGACGTGATAGGAAAATGTCGAGTTAAGCCAAGCGACGGGTTACTGACTGTGACGTATTAAGCATAAAGACGAAAAAGATAAAATGACGAGTTCTCATCGCAAGACAATAAAAACGTAAAATCACTATTAAACAATAATTAGTAACACATGATTTATTTGCTTTTTGATGGTACATAATATATCGGTAGCAAAAACAACAATCGATTATAATGTATAATTAATAGGGTACCATGGCATCAATATTTTTACAATAAATAAACAAACGTCAGATATCCGGCTCAACATATAAATAGTACTATGACTATTATAACTTCTAAAATTTTTCCCTGTTCAAAAAAAGCCATTGTAATAGACCAACGTATGTACAAATTATATTATCTTTAATTTTTATCATATTATTTTTATCTTGATGCATTAGACAAAGCTGTACCAAACATGGGCGTTCTCCTTTATGAATTTTGCTGTGAAAGTATCATCATTCTCGTCATTATCAGCCTATTAATGTCCCCAATGCTGGAGTACAGGCCTTCCCTATGGATGGAATAGGGAGATTGGGCCATGACTCATCTCGCGGGCCCAGTGCTGATTGGTGGGTGCTAGCGACTGCAGATGCAGCCGGTACCAACGGCTTAATGTGCCTTACGAAGCACGGAGGAGCTCGAGATAGTAAATTTTTGGTTACCCATCTAATGACCGACCACTGCAAAAGTTGCTTAACTTCAACGATCGCAGCCGAACGCGCTAACCACTTGCGGCATCGAGCTCCTCGAGAATGTGAAAGTATGTATACTTGTTATTCAATCCCGCAAAAACTACTGAACGCATTTGGATTAAATTTGGTACACGTATAGTTTATGACCTGGGTTGAGACATGAGATACTTTTATCCCGGAAAAATATTAAATCCCAGTGGGATTCTCAAAAAATCAAAGTTAACGTGGATGAAGTCGCGGGCGGCCGCTAGTAATTAATTGTTATAACAATAGTATCCTATTACCATAGACATAGAGAATAGACGAAGCATCCCCTAACCATTGGTAACTGGGCAGATAGGTGTGAGAGAGATAGAGTGGTTGGGCGGTCCATAGTTCGTTTATGTATTGGCTGCGTTTTCTGTCATTCTAGAGAATTTTATGTCTATTCTTATTACTACTAATAATAAATAAAATCGAACTCTTCACTATTTAAAAAAGTTCCTCTTATCATTGTTGCCATCAGAATAAAATCTCACATAGATTTGTTAACTATTTACAACAAAACACTTCAGTTTTGTAAGCTCCTTTGTAAATAATTTACAATAGGGGTGTTGACGGGGTACAGTAAACGAAATTCTATTTAGTCCGTCAGTAAGATGATCAAAAAATAATGGACACGTATTTTTTCTTTGGGCAATCAACCAAAAAATGACAAAGTTATAGCGCGTCAAAGTTTGGGAGTAGGGGCTCGTGACGTCACTTTTGAGTGAATTTTCACTTATAAGTGTATTCAAACGTGACGTCATGCGACTTTTCAAATCAATATATCTGCAATGTTTATATTATGTGAAAAAATACGTGTCCAATACTTTTTGAGAATCTAACTGATAAACGAAGAAAAAAAATTAGTCATCATCCCTATTAAAATAATGTTCCTACTTTGATGTTTAGCGTGTTGTCATTTTTATATTAAGACCATAGCGATAAAGTCTAAATTACCAAATAAACACATTGTCAAAGTTCATATATTTTTTTCAGTGACTGTTCATGCGCAGTTGTCAGTTATCGTCGTTCCGGTCGTGTTTTGTCTTCTTGCAGTCATTTTGGTGGTCTTCGGGATAGCGTTCTATCAGCATCGTTCAAGGTAAGTCCATATCTTCTTCTATAATACACTTCTGGACACATCTATTGGCCCACCTTAGAGTTTAGGTTTCGATAGCCCCTACCGAAATATGATTGCTAGATTGAACAAAAACTGTTGATGCAGTTTTAAACCTGATACATTGTACCATCTTTTCCGATCGTATTGTTTTAAATTTGAATTCAGAATACCATACGACATGGAGCTACGCCTAACAAGTCGGATATGCGCCTTGTTAAAGGCAATTGATTTTTGAATAAAAAACATGTTTTATAAAATAAAGGTTTAATTTAATAACGCGTGTTGCCTCCATGGGCATCTACCACATCTCTCATACGATTAGGCATAGAGTTTATCAACCGCTCTATGAAATTTTGAGGGATCATCTCCTATTCCTCTTCTATGGCAGTTTTCAACTCCTGCATCGTCTGGGCAACTGGCTGACGAGCCCTAACACGTCTTTTTAGCTCGTCCCACATGTGCTCAATGGGATTCATGTCTGGGCTTCTGGCTGGCCAGTCCATAACTGTGATGTTCACATCCCGAAGATATTCCCTGACGATGCCGGCCGCATGGGCTCTTGCATTATCATGCATAAAAAGGAAATTTGGGCCCACATAGTCCGCGTATGGTATCACGTGAGGTTCTAAGCACTCAGGAATGTCCCTTTCAGCATTTAATGTTGGCAGCCGTGGTCCTGTAACAACCTCAAGTTGAGTTTTGCCGCTCGCGGATATACCGCCCCAGACAGTTCATGAGCCACCGCCATAAGCAACCCTCTCTTCAAAGCAGCATTGTGCGAAACGCTCTCCCTTACGTCGGTAGACCTTCTTCCTTCCATCATTGCCATGTAACACAATTTTAGACTCATCAGAAAAGAGTAAACGGCTCCAATCTTGCTGTGTCCAATTTAAACGACTGCGTGCGAAATGAAGGCGCGCTGTTCGGTGGGCTCGCATTAGTTTAGGCCCATTAGCTGGCTTGTGTGGTACCATATCGCGTTCTTTTAACCTTCTCCGAACAGTTCGAGCGCTCACAGATACTCCGTGGAAGTCGCGAATTTGTTTTTGTATCTCTGGATGGAGGTAAGGTGACGATTTCTCAAGCTGGTCGTCACGATGAATCGATCCTGCCTTTCAGTTGTGACCCGAGATCGTGGCCTTCCTTAGCGACGAACAAAGCCGCCAGTCTCTAGGTACCTCCGATAAACATTTCGGACCGCAGATCGACTTAAATTAAGTTGAGCACTCACGTTTCTTTGGCTGTGTCCGGCCTGAATAAGTGCCACAGCTTGGGCGGCGACTTCAGGTGAAGTATCCATAGATTATTGATAGAACTTGGTAAGGGGTTCTTAATATACCTGCAAGAACCCAAGCCAACCTCACCTTCACGTGGTGCACCCTGTTGACCAACAGACGAGGCTCTGGCAAACCGACCGATGGCGGTATAACCATCTAACGACGTAGGGGAGGAAAATCTCATTGGTGACGGGCAGCAGCGTCATCAGTGAAATAACCTACGTTCTGCGATCGCCAACCCGCCTGCCCAGCGTGGCGATTATGGGCAATACCTTTGAATGCACACAAACAAAAAGCCACGGCCCCCAGTTTACGGTGGCCCCGCTATTCCTGGCCACGGTGGCGACCACGGTGACGGCGGGGCGGGGGGTGCGAAGTATCTCCGGGCTACGGGAGGCCACCACAATAGATTGACCCTGGCGACGTACAACGGACGCACGCTACGGCTTGACTCGCATCTGGCGCAACTCGAGGTAGAACTTGGGAAGATTAGGTGGCACATTTTAGGGTTAAGTGAAGTCCGAAGAGAGGGGGAGGACACCATAACGCTCGAATCGGGCCACCTAATGTACTTCCGCGGGGGAGACCAACAGTCCCAAGGTGGCGTTGGGTTTTTGGTGAATAAGTCCCTTGCCGATAACGTTGTGGAAATGTCCAGCGTGTCGAACAGGGTAGTGTACCTTATTATAAAGCTCACCGAGAGGTATAGCCTCAAAGTGGTGCAAGTGTACGCACCGACCTCGACACACTCGGACGACGAAGTGGAGGATATGTTCGATGATATATCGAGGGCCCTCCACTCCACTTCTAAGACCCACTACAACGTTGTTATGGGGGACTTCAACGCTAAAGTGGGAGTACAGAATTGCAGCGAATTGGTAGTAGGATCCCATGGATTTGGAAGCAGAAATCATAGGGGGCAAATGCTCGTCAACTTCCTCGAACGGGAGGGGCTCTTCTTGATGAACTCTTTCTTCAAGAAACAGCCCCAAAGGAAGTGGACGTGGCAAAGCCCCGACACTATGACTAAAAATGAGATCGATTTCATCATGACGGACAAGAGGTACATATTCAGAGACGTCTCAGTGATCAACAGGTTCAATACCGGTAGTGATCACCGACTCGTCCGGGGCTCTTTGAATATCAACTTTAAGGCCGAGCGCGTCCGTTTGATGAAATCCAGGCTCCAACCTACTCTGCTCCAATCTATAACAGGGTCTGAAACATTCCAGTCAAATCTGGAGAACCGATTTGCTGCCGTGGAAACCACAACAGACGTAAACCAAAACCTCGAAAATGTGGCTCGAAAATGTGGTTCGGATCCTCAGGGAAGAGGGTACGAGATTATGTGCAACGCAGCGAAAGGGCAGGAAGTCAAAGCTTTCGGAAGAGACTTTCGGGCTAATGAAGGAACGACGTGAAAATCCACCCGTCACTTCGTCGGCAAAGCGGACTCTAAACCAAGAGATCAGTAAGCACGTACGACACGACCTCCGGTGCTTCAATACTCTCTCGATCGAGAGAGCGATCGAGCAGAATCGAGGATCCAAAGTGTTCGTACAATCTCTTGGAAGAAGCCATCTGACGAAGTTGACCACAGCAAGTGGGGAAGTTGTTGCTTCAAAGCCGGCAGTCCTTTCGGAAGTGGAAGACTTCTACAGCCAGTTGTACGCATCACATGCATCTCGACCCGATCCCGGAAATGAAGATTCTAGAGCCACATTAACACGCCACTTCACCGAAGACCTGCCAGAAGTCAGTATTGGCGAAATCGAAAATGCTCTTGGACAGCTTAAAAATGGAAAAGCCCCTGGAGAGGATGGTGTTTCAACAGAACTCTTAAAGGCTGGAGGTAAACCCGTACTGAGGGAGCTCCAAAAGCTTTTCAACACTGTCCTGTTCGAAGGGAGAACTCCGGAGGCGTGGAGTATGAGTGTGGTTGTCATGTTCTTTAAAAAGGGGGACAAGACCCAACTTAAGAACTATCGACCCATATCCCTTCTAAGCCACGTCTATAAGCTGTTCTCAAGAGTGATCGCGAACCGTCTTGCACGAAGACTTGATGACTTCCAACCACCGGAACAGGCTGGGTTTCGGAGCGGATACGGCACCATAGACCACATTCACACAGTGCGGCAGATTATACAGAAGACTGCAGAGTACAATCAGCCCCTGTGCCTAGCATTTGTGGACTATGAGAAGGCCTTTGACTCGATTGAAATCTGGTCTGTTCTGGAGTCCCTGCAGCGTTGCCAAGTCGACTGGCGATACATCCAAGTGATTAGATGTCTGTACGAAGCCGCCACCATGTCTGTCCAAGTACAGAATCAGCAAACAAGTCCCATACCATTGCATCGTGGAGTGAGACAAGGGGACGTTATTTCCCCGAAATTGTTCACTAATGCAATGGAGAATATGTTCAAGACGCTGAACTGGAAAGGACGTGGCATCAACATAAATGGCGAACGCATCTCTCACTTGCGATTTGCAGACGACATCGTCATCATGGCAGAAACCCTGCAGGACCTACAACAGATGCTGAATGACCTGGCTGACTCTTCTATACGCATCGGCCTACGGATGAACTTGGATAAAACCAAGGTCATGTTCAATGAACATGTTCTACCGGAACCGATTGCAATACACGGTGCCGTTCTCGAAGTTGTTCAAAAATATGTGTACCTCGGGCAGACATTGCAGTTAGGTAGAAACAACTTTGAGGACGAGGTGAATAGAAGAATTCAGTTAGGTTGGGCAGCGTTTGGGAAGTTACGTCAAGTCCTGACATCGTCGATCCCACAGTGTCTAAAGACGAAATTCTTCAATCAGTGCGTCCTACCTGTGATGACATACGGAGCCGAGACGTGGACACTGACGGTACGGCTGGTCCACAGGTTCAAAGTCGCTCAACGCGCTATGGAAAGGGCTATGCTCGGAGTTTCTCTGAAGGATCGCATCAGAAATGAGGTAATCCGGCAGAGAACCAGAGTTATCGACATAGCCCACCGGATTAGCAAGTTGAAGTGGCAGTGGGCTGGCCATATTTGTCGAAGAACCGATAACCGTTGGGGTAGACGAGTTCTGGAGTGGAGACCGCGTCTAGGCAAACGTAGTGTAGGACGTCCTCAGGCGCGATGGAGTGACGATTTGCGCAAGGTGGCTGGCAGGAGCTGGATGCGAGTAGCCCAAGATCGACCTAAGCGGCGTGCATTTGGAGAGGCCTATGTCCAGCAGTGGACTATGATAGGCTGTTGATGATGATGATGATTGATAGAACCTCACCTTAATGTTAAGAATAAGTAATGTTTGTTGCAAAACCAAAGATATCAATCACTTTTTCAAGAATTAAATCCAAGTAAACCAATAAAACCAAGTTTTCTTAGTATTCGATTGTTTGATATCAACAAACAGGCTCCAAATTGTCTTTTGTTTCTTTAAATTCTGTGTTCGAAATTCAAAAAAAGACTATTTAATGAAATTGTGAATGAGCCAGGTTCAAAACTGCATAAAAACTTTTTGCTCGACCTAAGTAATATAAAATTTTAGCTAGGACCAAACGAAACTGAAAATACAAGGTGGGCCAATAGATGTGTCCAGAAGTGTATAAAAATTAATCGCTGAATGTGTTGCTAAGCGCAAATCTCGAGAACGGCTAAACGGATTTCGATTTTTTTTAAATATTCCTTGAAGTACGAGGATGGCTCTTACGCAGAGAAAATTAAAAAAAAATGCCTGATAAAGTCCAAAAACTACACTTTTCTATACTTCCATACAAACGATTCGTAATAATACTTAAGTCAATCTGAACTTTAATACTACACCATAAATTACAAATGTTAGTGGAGAGGTTCAGGGAAGGCAAAACAATTGAGTAACGTGATGTCAATAGATGTTTGGAAAAGGCAAATATACCATTTTCAGGTTTTTTTATAATAATATGAAGTCATTTTAGTCAAGGAAGCGAGGGCGGGCCACTAGTTTTAAATAATTCAATTGGTATTTTTACACAAGTAATAATAATGGTATGTCTTATAATTTATTTTATTCTTAGCGAAATTACTAAAATCTATTAACTTTATACAGGTTGTAGGTACTAAAACTATGCCGCATGAAGGGAAAGTACTTTAAATACAGCAGATAGACAGTTTTGCTGAAAAAACACTTGATTATTATTATTATAAATACAAAATGAACTCATCACTCATAAGAAGGCATTCAATAAATAAAAAAAAGCCTATGTGAACCGGTAGTCGAACCCGCTAAATTTGAAAAATAAATTACCAGTAATTTTACTGTACATTTTACCGATCGAAAGATGCAATCATGTAACGCGCGAGAACTGACAGAATGTCTTGTGTCGGCCGTTTCGCTTCGTTTCTTTAATGGTACGAGTTATAAAAAAATCACATTTCTGACAGTTCTTACTTTGATCAATTTTTTAAGATGAAATAAAAATAACTTAAGCAGAAGTTATGTCTTTTACTTGTTTATAAGTCCGAGAGTAAATTATTAAAAAACATACCTTTGTATTTCTAGTTGGGGGCCTTTAAAGTATTGCATAGAACACTGTTCGGTGGATAATTGTAAGAAATCTCTACGTAATACTTGAACTGCCCCTAGGTAGGAATTCAGCATTTTTTGTAATGTAAAATTTATATTAAAAAAAAATCTAATAAAGTTGTCTTTAGATTTAAACATCTAGCAGTTAAATGCTTAGAAATTAAAATATAATAAACTATGTAAAATTTTGCAGATACACGATAGAGGTGGCCGATTTCGACTTCGGCCAAGCGCACCTCGACTACAAAACATTTACGGAACGCCTGAGGGATAGTTTCAGAAACGCGTTAAATTTCAGGCACGACGACACCGATCCCCTCACGTCTAACGCCAGGTATGATTCAATGACGTAACCTGTTTCAGTAATTAAATAATAAAGAAACTATTTATGGCTTTGATAAATCTTACGAGAAAACGTGGGGGACATGTTTTAAGTAGGTGCAGTACACCCTGAAAAGATCCGCCCAGACAAGAGTGTAAGGAATGTCCAATAACAGTGTCTGGTTCACACTAGCGAATGTTTCGAAATTTTATAGATGTTCCAGTACTTAATCATGCACCTATTAATCTGTTAAACCTATTCAATTGACCTAAACTTTTGTGAGTACTTTTGCTTTTTAAATTAAACTACTTGTCCTTCCTCATCCTCATCGAAACGTAGATATATGTAATTAAGTATTAAAAAACGCATTTAAAACCCGTTGAAAGTAGTTTTATTTTATGAGTGCTATGCGTGAAAACATAAGAAATAAATACTTTTTCTTTTTTACCACTATTTTGTAGGTAACATCAAATTTGAATAAAAAGATAACTAGATTGTTAAGCTATTCTCTATTATTTAATAAGCATTTATTTGCAAGGTTTTTAAATAAAGGAAGGATCCATCGTTTGTGCGTTGCTTGTAATAAACAAGTGGTTATGTATCACATTCGAGGTTATAAATAACCTATAACTAAAGTTAGTTACCTATATCATAAAGAGATGACGCCGCTGGCAGCAAAAATTCAACAATATTCTTATGGTCTGGGTAGCTTACTTGGAATGTTGGGATCTTTAAAAACGGATATATATATGATTATGTTTATAAAAGTAATAGAGACTAATAGATTGCATGCGATAATTAAAAATAGTCTAAAAACATCTTAATTACACTTGAGGGCAAAATGTGCACCTATTAACTTTTTGCGTATTGCAAACATTTAAAAGCGAGAAGAAATAAAACATTCGCTAAATTTAAAAATGCTGTATTATAAGTTTCATTCACTTAAAATTCTGTTGTTTATTAGGAGATACACAATATAAATTTAAACATTTCTTTGTGATAATATATTTGTGCATTCTATGTTAATTTTCTTTGTTATTTTATTAGAGGAATTTATAATTATTTTTAAGAAAATTAAGTATACTACTGATGTCTTTATGTTATTATGAAGGCCAAAATTATTTGATTGTTTAACAAATTATAAGTGTAGGTATTTTGTATATTGGAGTAATTTCTTTCTTTTGCTTTTTTTCTTTTGTAATCTGTTTCCAAAAATTACATTATAGTCACATGTAAGAATATGTATATCTTTGCACGGTTAACCCATTTTTTGGTAAAAGATGTATGATTGTTTTAAACTTTCATGGTCACTAACAATAGTAATATAAGTTATTTACGGGATTGTTACTATGTACCTTGTTTTTAGTGAGTTTCCGATATTTCGGCACTTGCAACTACTCCGTGATCATGGCGCATGATCACGGAGTAACTGAAGTAATTGCAGCTAGGTTGTTATTTGCAGACATATCGGTCTACCCTCCGACGAAGTGTTTTATTGCGTTCGATACGCGGTACCACTTTTCACATTCGCACTATTCACTTAAAAACAAGGCAAGGCACATGGTAACAATCCCGTAAATAACATTAATTACTATAAAATGCATGATATTTCAAATTTGTATGTAAATAGGTTATTTGACGGTATAAAAAAAGTTCCAATTGTTGGAATCTGTATTCAATGAGAATATTAGCAGCGATTTTACTATTCTGCGACAACAAACAATTAATAAGTTTTCAAAAAAAATCACTTCTTAAATAGAAATTATGTTTTGTTCAATGGTCACGTGACCGAAAACGCCTGGCATTGGCAAAGACTTGAATGACGTCACACGCTTGTAAAATTCCGGTTAAAGTGACATAACATTGTACAAACTATATGTTTGACGTTTTAATAACAGCCTCACTTGTATGAGACGTCAATGGAACCCGAAGTAACGTTTTCGCGACAATTATAAATTTATTTTTTTATTTAGTTTTTTTTTTTATTGAAATATACTACAGAATTACGAATATCCATAGATCCTTTTTATGGACTCCACAACATTAGTAAATAACGTGGGATCGTTTTCTAAAACTTGTCAAAAACCCAATTTTTGAATGAACCCAAAAAACCCAGACATTATCATCAAATCATTAATTACACTTTGTCAGTGAGATCACTCTCTGCTTGTCACTCGTTATTTTATTAGTGTTCGCATTTTTTTAACATTATGTAATTTATTCCAAATATTTGAATGCTTCTTGATGTCTTTGTTCATTTTGTTTGAGTTCTATATTTCATACAACCATACAGATTATATAAATTTAAATGTTCTTGCAACATTGTAGATAAACCACACATCAACTGAACTGAAACTTAAAGAGGTGTAATATTCAAATAAATTTCATATCGTCTACCATTCAAGAATTACTTTTTTTAATTTCTTTCTAAGCTTCATGGTTAGATTCTACTAAGTGCTGGGATTTTATGTAGTTTATAAAAAAATATAGGTAACAAAAAGAGTAAATATTCAAAGCGTTGATGATTTTAAAACTGTAGATATAATAAATTATTATTCTATGTAAATATGTGATGTTAACGAACTGTGCCGATTTGTTACTATAATAATTATTTCTTATCTATGCAATTTTCAGTATCGATTATTGAATATTATTAAAAATGTATTGCCAATTATCGGATATTTTTATAAACTGAAATATTATGTATATAGGTAGGCCATAGAGAGAACACTATTTAGTAAAATTAAAATTTGGATTCACTCCAATCAAATGATTGTCATATCTGAATATCCTGATGATAAGACACAATGTGAAAATAATAATTGTTTAGCAAAGGAAACAGGGAAAAACATTCCATATAAAATTTCATACACAGTTTATATAAGTAGTTTTTTTAATTAGTTCAAGGAATATCAATACACGCTACATCAAACAAATTGGCGGATAAGTGGGTATGTGTATAAATAAGCTGTTTGTTTGTTTTTTGTGTTGTTAGTTAAAGATATTATGTGCAAGTCTAGTCAAAATTGATATATTGTGTATTGCTTTATCAAAATGAAGGGATCAGCGATTTGTTAAAATCATTGTAGGTACATTTATATGTTTATTGATTTATATCAAGGAAGCTAAAGGAGGAAACGTATAGAATAATATTAAATATTTTAGCTTGGAAACTCTTATAACTAAGAATGATCCCTTCATTTCGATGATTACGAAACTCGTAAACAAACAGCTAAATTAAAATAAATTTACTTATATTTTGAAATGATAATGAGATCAATGTTGAGATAATATTATTGTCTATTTTAGTTTTTAGAGACGCAAGGTACTACGTTTATTTTTAGGGTGCATTATGATTGCGTTTTCCGTCGTCGTGTCCGGTTGACCTTACATTCATTCTGGAATTAATTTGTTATTTTCTAACACTCTAATTTTAAAATTTTTAGTTTGTAGGATACGCGCCGAATAAACGCTTATCTGTAAGCGCCGTAAGGGTTGTACTTTCTATGCTATAAACATAGAGTAAGACAACTCTGGACAAATTACATTAAATTTGTTTGACGTCTCTGAATAAGTCCGTTAGTCTGGCAATGAAATCTTTACACAGATTATCGAAATTTATACTCAATAATGTTGTTGACAAGAATCAACAATAGACTATAAAGTTTATTTGTATTATACTAGTAAATTAAAAGTTGAATAATTATATCATTTTTCAAACTATAAATAATAATTATTTTTACGTACCTACTTGAAATCAAATGTTTAGGTATGAACAGGCTGTAAAAATAAAGTAAAACTGTAAATTCATGCTGTAAAATGAGGAGCGTTAAGGTATTCCATTGCTGAAATATATATGAGATGATACAAGTTGATAATTAATACGATTGATATATCGAAAAGTGGTTATAATAAAATGTAAATAATATACGTTGTATTTTTCACTACCCATTATTAAGGATATTTTTATTACAATAATCAATTTATACCGCTACGTAATGGAATAGAATCGAGTTATTGCAATGAAATTGTGCATGGCATAAAGTTTAGTCGCTAGGAGAATTCTCATCAAATGCGAGGATTGTGCGGAAGGCGAAAAACCATTTTTTTGGCTGGTATTTAATTTGTTTGTTGTTAAATTACCATAAAGTTCACAATTTTGTTGCTAAAATTCGGTTACATTCCATTCCGCGGTGGTATAAATTGACCCTAACCTTAATATGAAATGATGAATAATATGTTTATTTGACTTATTTAATGTTGATGTTAATGTAAGAATATGTAATAAATATTGAGAATTTGGCAGAGATGATGTATAAGTAGGGTACAGCGAAGCTTTCGCTACTCAAGTAATCTCGACCGATGTTATGTTTTTATTGGTGAGTAAACTTTACATGCTAGAGGATTGGGTTCAGACCTGCAAGGTGAGGATTAATGGAAGGGCACATTTCTACCACATCGGCTATCGTCGCTTGGACTCCGCTAACACATAGTACCAGATGGTGCATGTTACCTAACCGGATACTCATACTAATATTATAAATGCGAAAGTGTGTGTCTGTCTGTTAACCTCTTCACGTTTAAACATCTGAACTGATTTAGACGATGCATAGAGATAGTTTAAGTCCCGGAAAAGGACTTAAGATAGTTTTATCCTTATAAATCATCTTTTAAGCGGATGCAAATGGGCTGCAAGTTTGTATAAAAACATTTTTTTATATGCAGACGAAGTCGCGGGATGCAATTGTTTTTTATAAATAATAAGAACCTCAGAGTTAATGTCAGTCAGCGTGAGATAAACATTACTTCCATAGTCACACAAACACGTCTGGCTGCAGAGAACAGAGAAACAAAAAGATGTCGCTGCAGTTTGCGGTCTACCACCCGTCTTGGAATAGCACCTTTAAGGCCAAAACACACGGAAGCTGGAGGCAAAGGCAGTGTTTATTGTAAAGTTCGAATTAGTATGAAAGGCTACACCTATAAACCGGAGCGGTGGCTAGGCAGCGCGGTGGCGGGGCGGGTCGTGCCGGCGAATCAAACAGGCAGCGTGCGCGGCTCGTGGCTAGGGTTGCCACCTTTTTTAAGTCCAAATAAAGTACATTGGATATGAAAGGTAGAAAAAAAAGTACATTGTGTCCAAAATAAAGTACATTTTAATCCACTTTATTAGTAAGCTTAAAATATATTTTACGGTGCTTATAGCAATATTTAATAAATAATTTGTGGCTACTAAAAATCTGTAGTTCTTATCCGCAATGGGAAAGACCATTGTACAAAGCCATACAGCCGCGACAATGTTGCAGGAATGGGCTAAGGGCGACATATTATACATACTGTTGTTCCGTTTTACGCAAAAAATCTTCCTATCCTCTTTATTTATATTATATGTAAAATTAATTCCCAAGTAATCAAATCACATTAAATAAAGTATTTTTGCGTACTTTATTGTTGGCATAAAGTATAGAGTACAATTACCCGAAATAACGTACAATACTTTATAATAAAGTACGGGTGGCAACCCTACTCGTGGCGGAGCCTTGCGCCATGACCGTTGTATTCCTTATAGTGTATGGAGTAAGGTCACACAGAGCGACGGCGGCGCGTTGCGGTGCGGAGGCGTGCTACTGGCGGTGGATTCAGTGCAAGTATTTTATTCAAAATTGTTCACCGAACAGTGATATTTAGACAACCCACAAAACACGTGAGCCGACACACAGGAGGCAACTAAACGCCTCCGCGACGGCACCGCACCGCCACCGCTCCAGCATGCCTGCAGTGTGTAAATACCCGCAACGCCGCCGCCACGCCTGACACGGTTCTTAACCGCCACCGATCCGCCTCCGGGTTTTGTGTGTTTTGGCCTTAAGAATTTCTTACTGTGCGTGGCAGACCTCGACCGCCACCTCTATACAGGTGGTTATAAAGCCCTATTAATTTAGTTAAGGTTAGTATGTAAAAAAATATTATACTTTATAATCCTCATGAATGACTTGTATGTCCATATAGAAAGTGAGAAATTAACAATCAGAAATAATTAGTCCAGTCAATGAAGGGTTTCACCTCCGATTTCGTTGAATCTCCATCGATTTCCATGAAAATTGGTGAGTAGGTGGGGGATACCTTAAAAAACAAAAGTGATATAGTGCCAACTTGCGCTTTTGCCCTGGGGGTAGATGCCACCCCTTCCTGGTTGTGAAAAATATTTAAAAAAAAAAAACTCCAGGAATCGATAGAGTGACAAATTCTAAGCAAAATTTGTTAAATAAGGTTTGTGGAATAAACCAATACTTTCTCAGTTATTAAAGATCAAAAATTGTGATTTTTCGTGATTAAAATACATGTTTAAGCGGTTTTTCATAAATAACTCAAAAACTATGAGTACCTACCTATTTACAAAATATATTATTACCAAAATTTATCTACCCCTAGGGCAAAAGCGCAAGTTGGCATGTCACTTTTTTTTCTTAAGGTATCCCCCCACCTACTCACCAATTTTTATGAAAATCAATGGAGGTTCAACGAAATCGGAGGCTGTAGCTGATTTTTGCCTTCATTGTCACATCATTCATTTGCCTTCACTAACTAAATTCAAAATTCAAAATTCAATATCGTTTATTCAGTCTAGGCTGTTACAAGCACTTGTGAATGTCGAAAAGCTACGCCATCGGAACTAAATCGGATTAGGTCCGATACCACATAAAATGTTATCCGTCTACTGACAGTGATAGAATCAGGAAATAAAATATCGAGTTGCTGTGGTGCTTACTTTCATTATAGTAATTAATAATGAATCAAATGAAATAAAAAATCCAAAAATAATATTGAATTAGATGTGCCTTTCCCACCAATCCGCACTGGGCCCTCGTGGTGGGTCATGGCCCAATCTCCCTATTCCATCCATAGGGAAGGCCTGTGCCCCAGCAGTGGGGACATTAATAGGCTGATGATGATGATGAGATGTGCCTTTCTTTCATCTTTGTAACATGTAATGCAAAGACACAAACACATAGCAATATTTATTTTTATTTTGAGGATTCAAAATGTTGAAATCATAGTTTTATTTACTTTTTGCATTTATGATAGCGAAAACACATTATTGGTGGCTCGACACGCAGTCTGGTTTCTAAGGATAGCAGTACCGTCATATAGCGGCCGTAATATTACGGACGTTTTTACAGTTTGTCTACAAAGTCGTGACATGAATGTCTGAGGAACTAACATTATTCATGTGTCTGGCAACACCAAACCACGGTTCCCAACTTGGGGTTTTTGTCCCCAGATTTAAGGGCTAGAAGGGTTAAAACGGACTTTTTTAGGGGCTGGAATTTTTTGGGGATTCTTTTAGGGGCTTTTAACAAAACTTGCAATTAAATCGAAAAACAAAGCGTGTGTTCTCTTTCAGTTTTGTGCGTAGAATGGAACGCACCACGATATGAAACGACTTAACTCCTGTGTGGTAAGTTGTTTCCTAAGGCTGTATGGACTAAAGTTCTTTGCCTTCCACCAATCAAAACAGCTAAATAAGATTTAACAGCCTGTCAGCTCGTTTTCGTTTGATTTTCCATTCGGAAAATGTAATTATTCAATAAAATAATTTACTGTAACTAAATATGAAACGTTTATTAATTTATGCAAATATTTATGAGCAACGAAAGAATTTAGGTAATAAGACATATAAATTTCTATATTTAGGGGATTTAAGGGGAATTTAAAAAATACTCAGGGTAAAATTTTGGTAAGGGTTGGTAACACTGCACCAAACTTATGTACATCAGCTGTCATCGAGTTTCAGTTGCTTGTGGAACAGTTTTCCTTTTGTATTTTTTATTGTTTGGATTAAACTGTAATAAATTAAGACGAAACTACGCAGAAAGGTATAAAAATGAGTAAAGTAAATCGGAGTGGCACACGGGAAGTGATTTTCAAAGTTTTTCTGCGATGTTTCGAAGACTACCAAGCTGGACGAATTTTTTGGGATTTGGACGATGTTTGTGGGCGAACAGCATCTATGACGGGTATGTAATCGTGTAAATATTTGTTTGTAATCTGCCTGAAGTTACAAATTTACTCAATTTACGATTTTGAGACCAAAAAAGGCATTGTTTACATTGCACATTTTTAGGTTAGATTGACATTGTAAATAGGTAATATTGTAGTACGACCATTTCTTTTGATACGTTGTTATGGTTCAACTCGGTCTCGTTTTCTACCAATTTTGAATTAATTGCTTCGTGTCAATAAGTTATTGTTTCTATTCCGTTACATATTTTTTTACTTTCTTTCAGGAAAATCGGAGAGCCGCATAGTCAACGAAGGTTTTAAGAATGATGGAAAGTTTGAAACTCCTGGGAAAACAGGCAAGGCCGACCAAAGAAAGAAATGGTCACATGAAGAACCATGGCCAGATACTTTTAGTGAAGATACCTATCACTAATTTTACTAACTGCACATTTACAAATTGTTTCTCTAAATGAATTTTTATATACTATATAATTTTTAGTATTATTTTCTTAACAAATGTGTTAAAAAACGTCGTATGATGATACTTGTGTGTATTGATGATTACCTAACGGCTCTGGTCTCAATGGCACCTCAGCGGTAATCACCAACATTGCACACTTTTACACTATAAAGTACTATTTTATCTATAATAATTTTATTCTGATTCAATGAAATATGCTTGGCTAATCTTTTTATAAGCATAGGTACCTACTATATATAAAACAGAAACAAAATACGACTGTATAGTGTGTCTTATTAATTACCTGTTTTACTTGAATGAACTGCTAGTATCAAAATCATTTTGGTCCGACTGTATAGGGTTGCTACATGCATACTAGTGGCGCCATTATTTAATGTCACGACTTTATAGACAAACTGTACATGACTCAAAGGTTCTATTATCTTCTTTTATTATTTTTTAATAATAAATACAATTTCCATCATGGATCTGGCCAATAGATCTTCTGAGATTGATTCGTTTACACTCGGCCATAAAACTTAATCCTATATTTATGATCTACTATGTAGGTATTCTATCAATGACCTGGTCAAATGCCATGGTACAGAAACTGCATTTGAGATTTTAGGACGGCGCTCGCCGTTTACTAAGCAATGAAGAGAAATTCAGAGAATACTTACGCCTTATAACACAGTTATTTGATTACATACCTAACCACTTATGACAGGATTTGTTAAAAACCATACAAACAGCAGAAACACAAAACCACTAAGCTCAGAACAAAACTGAGTATAATACATAGGTGAATCCAAAAAAAAAGTTTAAAATTTGATACTGTACGATTTATTAAACATTATCATTATTTATAGGTGGCGTAATTCAGCATTACCAACTAATGATCCTATTTGCATTCTTAATTGAATTTGCTCGTAGGGTGGCAACTTCTTTACTATTTTTGCCATTGCAGCAAAAAAGAGATCATTTTCATGTAATCCATTTTGAGTAGAATCCTCAAGGAGACCGAGACCTTCTTGACCGTGTGCATTATAATTGGCTTTCTTGTCGTTCTTAGCTTTATCATATTTTCTATGACCATTATTATCACATTTGAAATTTTCTATTTCCTGACTGTTTGATTGTGTTTCTTTGCTATTGTTAGAATTATCCGTTACTAAACTTTCGTTTTCTGGGATTTGTGTTCGTTTGCTGTTATCATGACTCTTTTCCATTTTTACGCTATTATTTCCTCTGTTTTCATCTATAACGTTAGTAATACTGCTTTTTTGGGACGAAGGAAGGTTGTCCAAGAATGACAGGAGAACAGATCTTTTCTTTGCTGCTTCTCCGCTTGAAACTGGTTTTCCTCTACGTCGAACATAATAGTCTCGTATGTAACACCATCTCTTGGCGCAATCAAAATCTGTAAAGCAGTTTATTTTATTTGTAACTATAGCAAAAAATATATGAAGTCATATCATTAACCAACCAAAGTCTCTTTCAGTTAACAAATGTAGTTAGTATGGATTAATAAAATTAATTTTAATTATTTTTATCGTTCGGTACAAAAAATAATTGTCGTTGTCAAAACTATGCTCCAATTAGTTATACCTTTGCCAAAAGATCATCGATTGAAAAGAATAAGTGAGCAGTATTTATTTCCAATTACGTCGGAAGAATTGGTGGAGACCTTAGAGCATTTATACTGCTCTAAGGTGGAGACATATAAGAATGAAGTCTTGTTTGCTCCTGTCAAAATTATTTAATGCCGTAGAAGTAACCAATGCGACCTTTTCATTTAGATGTAGGATGGGAATAACAAATGAAACGCCACTTGTTCTAAACTTTTGAGGAAAAAAAATGTGTTATGACTTAACTAGAAATAACTTATTATGTAAAAAAGTATTGAAAACCAGCGTCGCAGCAGATTATTGCGGCATTTTCCTGAGCGAAAGCCATTTTGGTATAGTATATTTAAGTTTTTATTTGATCTCTGTTTTTTATCTTCATTGTGTCCTAGTTATTTTTAAATTTGATGTGATAGTTTTAATATTTTTGTGTGTATATTCCTACCTACCAAATAAATATTTTTTTAAATTAAACATTAATTAGGAAGGATAAATTGCATGATGTGTCATTTTCGTAGAAAAAGATTTTTTGTCAGTAACTTACAATATTTTCAAATAATTTATATGACACTGGTGTCGATTCTAGCATGATTCTCTAAACCTAAACTTAAATTTGACAGCAGTATATCCTTGTCATTCTCTATACAAAATGAAAAGGAGAGACTGATGTTAAATTTAGTTTTAAGTTTAGAGAATCACGCCAGAATCGATACCACTAGCTGACTCGGCGAACTTCGTATCGCCCAAAATTAAAAATTTGCAATAAAATGATATTGACACTATAAATTGATATTTTAGCTATCATATCTTTCAATTTGGATCAAATTGCACACGGTGTGCAGATCGGTTAAGTAGTTAAGGAGTCCATCCCGGACAAACAAAGAGACGCGTAGAGTCTGTGCAGAAAGAGAATGAGATTTAGATTGGAGGGCGCAGTAGTGCTTTTCTACCGTATTTGTAAGTTTTTACTCCTTTTTTTTTATTTCGATTTTTTTAGCAAATTAATTATAAAAATTGTGCTTGAAACAAGGTTTCTCAAAATCATGGTAATTTTGAAGGGGAAGTGTATAAAAAAATCTTATAACAGAGAGGTGCACTTGGGACAAATTGTAGTGAGTTTTTGATTCATCATTATGGCAACACTGAAAGGACATTGCAGGATAATTTGGTATCAAAAGTTTCTACAGTCGACAAAATTTTATTCATGTAAGTTAACAGTGTGTTTCTTAACTTAAAATGATTTTGTACAATTTTATAAGGTTAACAAATTTAAAGTAAATCTTAAAGAGTAAACAACTTTGTAAACATATATGTCCTCATTTTTTTAAGAATATAAGCACATAGGTACTTCATTCTGACACTCATTAGAACAAATATAGGTACATACTTGAAATTTAAATATTTGTCAATCGGTCATATTTCAAAAGTGTCCCAAGAATCACCCCTTTTTGATTAGTCTTTATATTTTTGATAATGACTAACAATTTGGAATATTATTTATCGTGATACCTTAAAAAGTATGAAGTTTTAAAATCGAAATGAGATCATTCATCAGGTAGAGGGATGATCTACCTCCGTTGGGCAGTTGATGAGTCACCTTCTGATGAATTGGAAGTTTTATCATCGTCGACACTTTGTGCATCTTCTCCATTATCATCATCACCTCCTCCTCTGCCGACTCTTCATCCGATGCCACTTATATATCTTTTATCTCTTGTACATACATTCGATGCATAATCTGAAGTAAAAAAGCATATAAAATATAATAATACACATAAATAGTAATAAACATAGATAATACACATATAAATAGTAAATACTGCACAAATATTAAAAATAAAACATAAATATTTCATTACTTACGATGTAAGTCAATAGCTCACCATGACTACAATATATGAAAAAACATCTGCATGTATACTTTGTATATTGGCGGGAACGGCGCTCGAGTACAAACTCCTCGCGTTTTCAAGGGCTAATTGCTCGTGAATACACAGGTTCACGTTGAAATACAAAAATAGAACAAAAAGTCACCCCGGCGTATAATACTGTTGTCTTAAAGGATTCAACTTATAAGATTATTAAGTGCAACATCTGACATGCGAGATGGAAATAAATAATGTAAAACCTTTTGTGAATTGTATGCTAAAACTAACCTGTTTTATTTAAAATTTTCCCAATTTCACGCCACCAATTCTGTTTCAACTGAGTTTTTCTGTATTCTTTACTTTTTATATAATAAATAGCTTCGTGGTTACGTACGAAACTTATTAAAATTTCGTCGTCTTTGCTGCTCCAGTTGGAGTTAGAACTCATTTTGGATGTCATATTGGTCGGAAAAACACAAATGCGTTCACCGCTATCAATAAAGACGTTCACTAACACGCACGTACCATTCGACAACGACAACACGGCCGTCACCGTCATGCAAATGGCGGCACCGCTTTTTGAGGTTACGTTGTCAATAACCGGACTGCGTTCCAAACCTACGTTCTGAGTTTTTACCCTAAAGTTTTTGACATTGGTGTTGACTATGGCATGATTCTTAGAACTTAAAACTAAATTTAACATCAGTCTCCTTTTCATTCTTACAAGGATACACCGTTGTCAAATAAGTTTAGTTTTAGAAAATCATGCCAGAATCGACACCATTATTATGTATTCAAAGACATTTCTTGCACCTGGAGCGTAGGTTTGGAACGTTCCCCGCTCTCTACAGTGCTGCGAACTGCGAACTTTTGAATCTAGATGGTTGGTAAAATTCCTCTAAAAATAAATACGGTAGATTTAACGATATTTTGTAATGTTGTAATTTATATTCGAATTATTTAAATATTTAGTTGCAAGTTAAAGTCAGAGGTGACAAAAAGAAAACATTTTTAATCAGAATCAGACAGTTTAATAGTTTCATAATTTTTACACATATCAACGTTATTGAAGTGAAAATTTACGATCCTTACAGTAGTCGCGTATGATGTGTAACATTTGAAACCTCAACTTATATTAGAAAAGAAAGAAATAAAACTTGAGCGGCGTTGTACACTTTTTTTGTAATGGGTCAAAACCAACGATATGAAATATCCTAGATACACCAACACGAACAAAATCGTGCCCGGAACCTGTCCAAAAGGCACATTGAACGATTCACGGAGCTCCGTAAGATGATCGCGTAGTCAAAATCAATATAAGGCATTATTTAAATATTGAAAGTAAGCTTTAATACATACTGTATCAGGTCTTAAATAAAACGCACGCGTCAAGGACTTCTGACAGTTCGAAATGTAAGCTCGTAAAATTTTACGACTTATTGCTATATGCGGAAGAATTTAGACCTTAGTTCTTTGACTCTACGCGTAATTCTGAACGCGCTGTTAGCAATATAGCAGGCACGGACCGCGAGGAAAAGAGACGGCTATATGGCGACGTATAACCGACCATTCATTTGAATATCAAAAATATTTATTATTAAATCAGTTTATAGTAAGTATTAGATCAAAATTTACTTCAAATGCGTTAAATTAACAAACATTGACAATATACCTGTGGAAAAAACGACACGCTAGGTCCGCGCGTGACTGTGAATCAAGAAGTGCTTGGGTGGAGTTCAAGCACTTCTTGATTGGGACACATTTTGAGCGCTCGTGGTGTATCTAGGGTATTTAATATCGTTGGTAAAAACTGTTAAACTCGCGTCAGGACACGTAACCACATCGCATCATGACACGTGACCTGATCGCGTTCGGACACGTGACCTAATCGAAAATTCGTAAGACGAAAACAATAAAATTGGAAATAAGTCTTAATTAGAACGTCCAGGTGGCAGCTTTATTGCGAAGAAAATGCATTTTTTTCAGGAATCCTAGAAAGGCCCTTCTGAGTCCAACATGAAGAATATTTTTAGCAAAACTGTTTGATCAGGATTCGAATAGTCAGAGTGTACTCATTTATCTATTAGTATTTGGGAAGGAATTAAAAGAAAATTTAGTCTCTCTTCGCTGCTATTTAGCTTTTGAAATTGTTGGCAAAACTTTATACTTATATTGAGATGAACTTTCTTACGGTTATTGACCTTTCTTTCTTATCAAACGATGTTTGTTATTCTCATAAGGTCCGATAGCTAATGTTTGATTGTTTTATATGCAGTGGCCATAATTATACTGATCTCATTTTAGTATTTCTGTATCTAAAAAAATGGGTGCGTGTACTTATGTAGGCGCGTGAGAAGTTATCCTTCTTTGGCATCGTTTAAAATTAGTTTTTAATTGCATGCAAATAATTAATTACAATAAATTAATAAAAAGTCTGGAAAAGGACACAGTCAATAAAGTTCAGTTTTAATTTGAAAAAATAAATAAATAATCAAAGTATTCAATTAAAATCGCTACTGAATATAATTTATTAGAACATATGTGATTTGCACTTGTATGAAACTCAAAAACGTATTCCGAATATACAAACTAGAAACATGTGGATAAATATTATAAATATGAATACCTATAACTGTTACTTTATTACAAAAAATAAAGATGTGGTTTTTAGTTCTACTACACCAATGGTCAAGAGATGGCGCTGTAGTCTCCTGAATCGCGCTTTGGTTCCGTTGTTCCAGATTAATAAATACTTTTGATATTATAAATATGAATACCTATAACTGTTACTTTATTACAAAAAATAAAGATGTGGTTTTTGGTTCTACTACACCAATGGTCAAGATATGGCGCTGTAGCCTCCTGAATCGCGCTTTGGTTCCGTTGTTCCAGATTAATAAATACTTTTGATAGGCCTTCACAATGCAGTCGTTAGCACCCACTAAATAGAGATTCTATTTCTATTTTGTTGGTAGATTTTCTTAATGTGCGGTAAACACAAAAGTAACAGCATCGTCGCTAAAGGTAAAGATCGCTAAAGCGACCAACTTCATGCTGTTAAAATTTTGTGTTACAGTGATGCGCGCGCATCTTAAAATTTCACTCTCATCATTTTTTCATAACGCGCCTCAAGAAGTATAACTTCAATAAGTAATGAAGGTGGTAGGGTGCCTAACACCCGCCTGGTTTCTTTACCACCGTGCGCATGGTGAAAAACCCGTGAAGTGCTTCTCGCGCGTTTCGGGGTCAGCCAGCGTACAACCAGGGCTCGAGTGTAGGTTGTCGCGACGGATTCGGTCCAGGGCGAGGCATCCGTCGAACCGATGCCGGGAGGACTACATCGACCTGCCGGCCAGGGAGACCCGTAGAAACGGTTGTCCCGCTGGCCGCCCGTGGCACAGTACAGGGGCCCGAGCGTTCCTAACCAGTTCGCGAGGCTGCCCCATCATGTCACGCATAATGTCGGGGTGGACCGTCGTGCCGGTTGGTGACCGGGGCGTGGGGTCCCGGCGGCCACTTCCGGTCCCCAGGCCAGAGTCTATGTGTGCCTCTACAGATCCCACACTGGCGATGTTGAGACAACTCGACTTTTCGAACATCTTAGTCGGGCAGCAGATGACGCGCAGGAGCAATTTCCCAATGCAGAATTGGTGTTTTTGGGGGACTTTAATGCTCACCACAATTTGTGGTTAAGTTCCTCGAAAACTGACCATGCAGGGATCTCTGCTCACGCGTTCGCTCTCACGCAGGACTTGAAACAACTGGTCGATCAGCCCACCAGGATTCCAGATATTTCAAGTCAAGCGCCTTCATTACTGGACCTTCTGCTCACGACCCATCCACAGGGCTATCAGGTTGTGGTAGGAGCCCCCCTGGGCTCTTCAGATCACTGCCTGATATCTGCCAAAGCGCCACAGGCCAAGCCTCCACGTCCAACGGTGGTAAAACGCCGGATTTGGCATTATGGGTCGGCAGATTGGGACGGTATGCGTGACTACTTAGCGTCCGTCCCTTGGAAGCAGCGCTGCTTCAGTGACAAGGACCTATCAGCCAGCGCCGTTGCTATTACTGAGGAGATTGTAATGGGTATGGAATACTATATTCCTCATTCCAATCTCATCAGTAAGGGCACACGTAACCTCTGGTTCAATCACGACTGTGCTGAAGCTGCTTCGCGTAAGCAAGCGGCATATCGTGCTTGGATCAGAGGCCGCGCTATTAAGGATCCCGGGGTCGAATCACTAAAAGCAGCCTACAATATTGCTTCCAAGGCCTGTAAGAAGGCTTACATCAGAGCGGATGCCCAGCGCGTAGCACGTGTTGGTCACGAACTTATAACGCATCCTACGGGCTCCCGTAGCTATTGGCGTTTGGCCAAGGCCGTGCAAAAGAACTTCTGCCAGCCCTCGCTGCCACCTCTGAGATGCCCAGACGGAACACTAGCTCATAAGCCGCAGGAGAAAGCCGATTTACTGGCAAAACTCTTTGCGGCTAACTCCCGAATCGATGATTGCAATGCACCGCCACCATCATTACCTCATTGTGGCACAACGATGCCGGATATCAAAATCAGGCAGCGTGAGGTTCGTGCCGAATTGCAATCACTCGACGTCCGGAAAGCTAGTGGACCCGATGGCATCCCAGCAGTAGTACTGAAAAAATGTGCAGCGGAGTTGTCTCCCGTGCTCACGCGTTTGTACCAGTGCTCGTATTCTTTGGGGCGTGTGCCGGAAGCTTGGAGAGATGCTAACGTGCAACGGGTACCCAAAAAAGGGGATCGCTCAGACCCGGCTAACTACCGGCCAATAGCAGTCACCTCAGTATTATGTAAAGTCCTAGAAAAGGTCCTTAACAACCATCTGACCCGCTACCTAGAGGATCACTTCCTGATCAATGATCGTCAATATGGTTTTAGACCGAAACGATCGACGGGTGATCTTCTAGCGTACTTGACTCATATCTGGGGTGAGGCTATCGACAAGCGAGGCGAGTCGTTGGCTATTAGCCTTGACATTGCCAAGGCATTCGACAGGGTCTGGCACAAAAGTCTTCTCTCCAAGCTTCCGGCATACGGTCTGCCGGCCCAGTTCTGTTCTTGGGTAGCTGACTTCCTGCATGAGCGTAGAATTCGTGTCCTTCCGGATGGTAGCAGTTCGCGGTTCATGTCAGTGAATGCCGGCGTTCCCCAGGGCTCCGTCCTATCCCCCACTCTCTTTCTGCTGCATATCAATGACTTAATTCCTCTTGGGAATATTCATTGCTATGCAGACGATAGTACAGTGCATGCGGGGTATCTCGGACAAGCAGCGGCTGGGCAGGCGGTAACCAAGGAGAAACGGGAGAATCTTGTCATTGAGCTCAATCTAGCTTTGGACCACATTTCTGTATGGAGTACCAAGAACTTGGTTGAGTTCAATGCTAAGAAAACCCAGGTCTGTGCTTTCACGGCAAAAACGTCGCCATTCCTTTTATGTCCTTCTCTTCAGGGCACAACACTGGAGCTAGAGAGCAGTATCACCATGCTCGGTATGGAGATTCGCTGTGACTTAAATCCAAAGAATTACATCGAATGTGTGATAAAAACAGCCTCACGCAAACTCGGAGTCCTGAACAAGGTGCGGCGTTTTTTCACGCCCGAGCAACTGTGCTTGTTGTATAAGACGCAGGTGCGGTCTTGCGTGGAATATTGCTCGCACCTCTGGGATGGCTCCGCTAAGTACTTGCTCGATGCTTTGGATAGGTTACAGCGCCGCGCAATTCGCATCATAGGCGATGAGGAGGTGACTAAACACCTCGAGCCTCTTCAATTACGCCGTGACGTGGCGTCACTAAGCGCGTTCTATCGCCTGTACCACGGCGAGTGTTCTGAGGAGTTATTCTCTCTTATTCCACCTTCCCCTTTCCTTCAGAGGACCACGCGCGCTGGCTTACGTTGTCACCGTCTAACTGTGGCTACAATTCCAACGCGTACAAAGAAATTTGGTGACTCATTTCTTTGTCGTACTATCCGTAAATGGAATGCTCTGCCCGCTCACGTGTTCCCTCCCTCTTACAACCTGGGATCCTTTAAAAGAGGCGTGAAGAAGCAACTTGCAGGCCGGCAGGGTGAGGATGGCTGGTGTGGCAGTTAGAATTGCTGTATCAGCTATCTTCGCGTCTGGACTTCACCTTCACTTAACATCAGGTGGGGTGGAGTCATTTGTCGGATCTATCTATAAAAAAAAAAAATAATCTAAAAGTGTATTCAAAGGAAACCCTTGAAAAAGTAGACGGGCGATGAAAGTTTGCATGGCACTTTGTCATCTAGATAGACTTAAAATAGTGTGTCCTGTAGGTAATAAAAAGCAAAAGTACTTAACTTTGATTCCGTTAAAAAATTAACCGGTTCAAAAGTTTTTTAATATACAATCATTGTTAGGATTTATGGGAATTGGCGGAGAAGACGGTTGATGATATAAAAAGAAAAAAATAAGTTTTTTTTTCACCCAAGGGGATGCGCGCAGGCAACGTAAATAAATCAGAAGAAAAAATGGTTCGCACAAAAAGAAGGAAGGTGTTCTTGCCTACTTACATGAAATGAGTCTAGCTAGATACAACCAGGAATGCGCGTAAGGGACAGGGGAGAAGAGGACGATTCAGGGTAAGTGTATAGAAGGAAGAAAAGTGCTTCTGCACATAACTATTTGAGGTGAGTCTTAACTAATTTTTTAAGACCCTACGGATGTGCGTAGTAATGCTATTCTGTAAGAAGAAACTCAGTTCTCAACTCGGAATCCGCGGTGTGATTTAAAATTAGAACATGAATTACAAAAAATGGGTGCGTGTACTTATGTAGGCGCGTGAGAAGTTATCCTTCTTTGGCATCGTTTAAAATTAGTTTTTAATTGCATGCAAATAATTAATTACAATAAATTAATAAAAAGTCTGGAAAATGACACAGTCAATAAAGTTCAGTTTTAATTTGAAAAAATAAATAAATAATCAAAATATTCAATTAAAATCGCTACTGAATATAATTTATTAGAACATATGTAATTTGCACTTGTATGAAACTCAAACACGTATTCCGAATATACAAACTAGAAACATGTGGATAAATATTATAAATATGAATACCTAAACTGTTACTTTATTACAAAAAATAAAGATGTGGTTTTTGGTTCTACTACACCAATGGTCAAGAGATGGCGCTGTAGTCTCCTGAATCGCGCTTTGGTTCCGTTGTTCCAGATTAATAAATACTTTTGATAGGCCTTCACAATGCAGTCGTTAGCACCCACTAAATAGAGATTCTGTTTATTTTGTTGGTAGATTTTCTTGATGTGCGGTACACACAAAAGTAACAGCATGAAGTTGGTCCAACTTCATGCTGTTAAAATTTTGTGTTACAGTGATGCGCGCGCATCTTAAAATTTCACTCTCATCATTTTTTCATAACGCGCTTAAAGAAGTATAACTTCAATAAATTTTAAATCACTCCGGGCGCGGCGTAGCGGATTCCGAGGTGAAAACTGAGTGCATTGCAGGCTGACCTATAGGCCTAAGCAAAATGGAGAATATCGTTATTTCGTAAGTTTCCTTTATAAAAAGCAAAAAAAAACAAGGGGGAATGGCGAACAAACAATATTTTTCCATGATTATAGATCTAGTTGCTATTTCACAAAAAAATCGGTTATTCGCTTCTGTCGAGTGAAAAAGAAAAGAAAACGCTACTCGCAAACTCTAGCACTGTAAAACCATAAATCCAACTCCGACATTAAAAGTATTCGTTTTTCGCATTTCATTAAAATTTTAACTCGTTAAGCTCGGGCTAGGCATTTTAAGTGCCGTCGGGTTAAGTCGCTTTAATCGTGTAACGAATACACGAGTACTGTTTTAAATAGCTTCCTCCCTTAATGAACCACGGTTTTGCGGACGGTACTTTGAGCCTCTGTTTTGGGTGCCGAACTGAACTGCTTATGTTAATAAATTGTTCTTTGTATTTGACGGAACAATAATAATATTGAAAATATGAAAATAGGGCTTCTTTAGAATAGTTATTAAATTTCTTCCAACACATTGTGGTAGTGTAAAGGCGTAGAGTTAGTGGAGCTTCATTTATTTATACAAATATTGGAACGAATTTTTGAAGTTATACTTCTTTAGGCGCGTTATGAAAAAATGATGAGAGTGAAATTTTAAGATGCGCGCGCATCACTGTAACACAAAATTTTAACAGCATGAAGTTGGTCGCTTTAGCGACCAACTTCATGCTGTTACTTTTGTGTTTACCGCACATTAAGAAAATCTACCAACAATATAGAAATAGAATCTCTATTTAGTGGGTGCTAACGACTGCATTGTGAAGGCCTATCAAAAGTATTTATTAATCTGGAACAACGGAACCAAAGCGCGATTCAGGAGACTACAGCGCCATCTCTTGACCATTGGTGTAGTAGAACCAAAAACCACATCTTTATTTTTTGTAATAAAGTAACAGTTATAGGTATTCATATTTATAATATTTATCCACATGTTCCTAGTTTGTATATTCGGAATACGTGTTTGAGTTTCATACAAGTGCAAATCACATATGTTCTAATAAATTATATTCAGCAGCGATTTTAATTGAATATTTTGATTATTTATTTATTTTTACAAATTAAAACTGAACTTTATTGACTGTGTCCTTTTCCAGACTTTTTATTAATTTATTGTAATTAATTATTTGCATGCAATTAAAAACTAATTTTAAACGATGCCAAAGAAGGATAACTTCTCACGCGCCTACATAAGTACACGCACCCATTTTTTTTAAAGTTATAGATAGTTTTTTTTCATATTTGTTGTTAATTTTCGGCTTATAATGACAAATTGACTGCATGAGGTCAGCTTGTAATTTCCCCAATACAGATAATTATATATATATATATATTTTATTTATTATTTTATAATTGATGTAAGCTAAGCTAGCGTTGTATATGTTCTTAGGTCTATTTCTAGGCAGCTTCAAGAAAAGTTTAGGTAAGTAGGTGTAAGATAAAAAAATATGAGAAATCGAGAACCTCCTTTTTTGATGTTTGTTAATAAACATCTATTAAGACGTTCTAGTAAGATAATATTAAACTTACGGAAAATTCTTGATTTGCAGTAGTGACGTCACAAAATTGTAAACAACTAAACGTTATTTTCGTGTTACTGTGGTTTCTTTCGTCGAACTGAAATAAGTCTGAAAACTCTTATATCTTGTAGAATTGTTTCAGTTTATTGATTTTGTTGACTAAATTAATGTTGGGCGGCGAATTTGTGGAAGCAGATACGACAAAACTCTTTGACTTAGTAGGTACATTCATAACCTTAAAAATTGTATTTTTAAACTTTAAATATTATTCAATGAGTACTTACATCGAAGTGATTTTTGCAAAGAGAAATGACTTTCAGTCGATAAAGTTACAGGATTTAGCAAGATTTAAACGTTTGTTCATGTATTTTTTTTTAGGCAATATCTTTCTAGTTCATTTCTTTAGGCAATTTAAACATAACTTTTCTGG